AGTTAAAAATATAAGAGTATAATAATCTTTACATATTATCCAAAAATAGAAATAAAAACAACATTTTAGATATCCAAAATAGAAACAACATTTTGGATATCCAAAATAGAAAAAAAAAAAAATCACGAATGGAGTAACAAGCATGACAAGGAGTCAAATATCTTAGGCTAAAAAGCTACTATACTTTTTGTTAATGAGTCTATCCTCTGCAACCTTTCCTTTTCTCTTCCCTAACAAACCAAATTTGGATCCCTTAATTCTTTTGTCTTTATTCTGAACCGCCCAAAACTCCATATTTTTTTAAGCAAATCTCCCACTTAAATCATGGAGATTAGGAGAAATACCCTCATAAAAGACAATTGCATAAAATTAATTAATGTCATGTCGATTTTTACTACGTCGTTAAAATGGATTATTGTAAATCTTTTATGCGATAATAAAAATGACACTTAAATCAATTTTACGGGAAAGTAGGTTAATTGTAAGTATAAAGTTGAAATTTGATTGGTACATGAAGTCATTTCGTTGTTGATAATGAAACAATATTTTTGTTTGCCACTATGATATACTGTAATCTTCATTAATGAATTTGTTTGGAGTGGGAGATTAGTCTGTTTAAGAGAATGAGGGTTAGAAAAGTGATATTGCTAAGGATAAAAACTACCCCTTACCTCACCAATTTTATGCATAGGGACTAGGGAGGGGGTGCCGGGGTGGTATTGGTAATTTAAGTCTTGTTTTCTTCAACTTATTTTTATTTATTTAAAAAAAAATTAAGTTCAGATCAGATCAGAAAAAATAAGTTTAGATGAGATCAGATCAGGTCAGAAAAAATATGTTCAGATTATATCATCGTTTTATGTGCAATTTTTTATCGCTATATATCTTTAATTTCGTAATGAAAAAAATTATGAAAATTACATATTAATAAAATACACATTATTACGAATCTAACAAGATTCCACTTGATATATATATTTTCCTTACAGATTATTGTACACTTAAGGTCAAAGTTTGGTCAAATCAAACAATAAGATCAGATCAGATCAAATCATACAAAATCAGATCAGATCAATTCAGATAAGCAAAAATAAGGTGAACTAAACACGACCTTAGTATAGCCAAGAGGTGATTTTAAATCGGGCATGATCGGGCCTTTGCATAAAATTTTGTTCCCAAACACGTAAAATCATATTGGGCTTATCGGGCTAAAACACGCTTTTTCAGGCAGGGTTTGAGTTTTGAACTAAAAATGCGCTTAAGCTTACCCAAACCCACACTCCATATTTTGTCATAATTAAGAAACTATTATCCCTACCTTTAGAAAAAATAAAAATGAGTTTAGATAAAATAAATCAAAAAAATAAGTTGTTTACACACAATTTAAAGTATTTCAACAAAATTCTAACAAAATAACTATTTGTACAAATTAATAAGCACAGATAATTAAATAAAATTAGAAAAACTAATATAAGCTCTAATAAAATATATTTAAATAATAAGATAGGTTCAGATAAAAATAATAAATTGTTTAGAATATTCAGATAATATAATACAGTAATAAAAAAAAAATCAGATGAACCAAACACAACTTTATTTTGAATCTAGAGATTTAGATAAGTTCAGATAATATAATTAAAAATTAATTAGATGAACCAAACAAAACTTTATTTTTGGTCTGCTTACTTCACCTTATTTAAACTTTTTCAGACAACATAAGTTTAAATAAAATAAGTTCAAAAAAAATTACTTTGTAGTTCATATGGAGTACAAAATGAGTTTTGAAAAAAATAACAAAATAAGCTAAAAAAAAAGTTTTAAGTCTACTGGGACATAAAGAAAGTTAAGACAATAAGTTTATCAAATACAATTTCAGAATATTTCTAAATTATGAAAAAATATAAAAGTTCGGATAATAATTTAAGACGAAATCAAATGAACCAAACAGAGCCTTCATGTTATAATTTTTTGGTGATAAACTTTTTGCAAAGAGTTATTATGATTAATGGTGAAGCATTGGTTTGAACGAAAGGTCTCCACGCCAACTACGGGCACAATCTCTAAGTGTGGATGCTAACTATTGTTTAGTTTACCTTTTTTTTTTTATTTGATCTGATCTGATTTGGTCTGGTTTGATTTGACCAAACTTTGACCTTAAATATATGATAATCTACAGAGAAGAAATGTATCAAGTGGGGTCTTGTTAGATTCGTATTAATGTGTATTTTATTAATATGTAATTTTTACAATTTTTTACATTACGTATAGTAATTAAAAATATTTAGCGATAAAAAACCGCACATAAAACGATGATCTGATCTGAATTTATTTTTTCTTATCTGATTTGATCTGATCTGAACTTATTTTTTCTGAAATAAGTAAAAATAAGTTAAACTAAACAAGGCCTACTTTAGCTAGTTAAAGTCATGTATGGGGTGGAATTTAAGATTCGGGATCAAAATCATCTGTGTTATTGGCCTTATTGCTATTTAACTTGTGGATCTATCTACAAAAAATAGAAACTATTTGCACATACTCCAATTCAATAACAAAAAATGTATCTAATTTTGAATAAAAAATTATTAAAATGTCATATTTAAAAGGAAAACTCGGTTTTAATAATTCCAACTTTGAGCCATTCACTTTAATAATCTTAACTTTAGTGATATCGCTTTTATTGTTCTCAATCGGTAGGACACGTGGCAACACATGATTGGTCGAACAAAGAAAAAAAATTTAAAAACAAAATAAAAATTTTTTTTTAAAAAGAAAAGCCTCTGGCAGCCCAATCCCCAAGCCCCACCCCCCGGAAACCGCACCCCCTTCCCAACCCACCCCTCGAAACCGACCTCCGTCCCCACCTCCACCCCCTTCTCCAACCCACTTCCAAAATCGCCCCCCACTTGGCCACCACCACCCTTGAAATCGCCCCCACTCCAAGCCTGAAAAACTGCCCCACCCCGAAAACAACCTCCTCGCTCCCCCCTCCTCTTCCTTAGCCCCAAATTAAAATCCCTTTCCCTAGCCCTGAATACCTATCCCTCTCCTTCCCAAGCCTCGAAACCCTACTCCCCTCCCCTAGCTTCGACATCGACACCACCTCCGCCTGGGTTTAGGCCAAATTGGGGAAGGGGAGGGGGTAGTGTTTGGGGGCTTGAGAAGGGGAGAGTGGTGGTTTTTGGGGCATTCCGGTGATGGGGAATAGGAGGGGGGCCAATTCATGGGTGGGTCGTGCTGTCGAAGGTGGCTGGCTGAGTTTTTTTTTTTTTTTTTTTTTTTTTTTTTTTTTTTAAATATTTGCCAAATCACGTGTTGACACGTGTCTTTTAAACCCAAAAAAAATTACATGTTTAACAGGTTATATATAATACCCCTCATGATTGCTTTAAAGGAGTTTAATATATTACTCATACCAACAAGATGCATCTTTCATTTCGGAAGCTCATATGCTAAGATACTTCTCATTTAAGCGTGCTTGGTTGGGAGTAGTCTTAGGATGGGTGACCTCTTGGAAAGTTTTCCCAGGGTGCGCATTAGTGAGTAAAAAATACGCCGGAAGGACTTGTGTTGGTCTGTGAGTATAGTTGTTGGCCCTTGATGCGCATTTCGTGACAATAGGCTCTACCCTAATTTGTTTGGGGTCGGGGTGTTACATTATCAGTCACTTGAGACCAATAAATTAAAAGCAAATACCCCATAAAGTAGGGACTATTCAATGATAATTTAAAGTCGGAATTATTTAAAACAAATGGGCCAAAGTTGAGATTATTGAAACCAATTTTTCCTATTTAAAAGCAGTTATTAAGATGAATTTAATAAAATCCCACATGATGACTATACTTTGAAAGTATGTCATATTGAGAATTTATGGTAAAAAATTTCTAATTTTAGACCTAAATTCCCGGTGTCAAGATTTTTATGGAATGGAAGTAGTATACGAGCTGAGTTTATTCATATCTCATTTAGCACACATTCATACTTGTATAAAGATAATATAAATGAAAAATTATCTGGAATAATAAGACTATTGATTGGTCTTCCAAAATTAAGATGACTTTTCAATTATTCCAAAATAAAACGACTTTTACCGGACATTTGCTCAAAATAAAACGTGACCAATTGATAACATGTTTAATATGTTGATTGTGACACGTGTAGCAATGTGATACGTAAGGTTTTTTTTTTTTTTTTTAAGGAAGGCAATGACATTTTATTTTGAAAAATTATTTCTAAAATAAATTTAAATGTTAAAAAAAACTTAACCAATTACAATGCGACACGTGTTTAGTTGACATGTTAACAGTTTATAATTCTATTTTTTAACATATGCCCGTGAAAGGTGAATCGTTTTATTTTGGATTAATTAAAAGACTGTATACTCATTTTTTTTTTTTGTGCAGACTGTATACTCATTTAAACAAATGTTAATCCATAGTTTTTAGTAGGGTCAATGGTAGCATAGCGTATCACTGCTAAACAAAGGTTTAAAATTGCATTTTGGGACATTAGTAGAAAGTAATCGGGTTATAGGTTGTCTTAAGTTGTAATTGGATTCGAGTTTCAAATGAAGTCGTGTGCTAGTTTAGGTTTTGATCATTTTCGAGCTAGGTAAAACCCATTGTTGTTTATTATCTAGTTTGGTTTAAGTTCATGTTCAGATTTTAAAGTATCCGATCAGCTTAATTGTCAATTAATATCAGATCGAGTTAGTATGATTATTAGTCACTAGTTTCATCCACTGTTCAAGTACTAATTATCCAGGGGTCATTACCAACTGGGATTGATTTTTGGGCAATTTCCAGTTTTCCACTGTATTTTTTAGTAATTACATAGCTAAAAATGGGTGTCAGAAAATTAAATAAATGTAAAGCTTTTGAAAAAAAATTGCTAGGAAGAGTAGGAACCTTTTGTATCCTTTCAATGTAAAAGTTCCTCGTAAACCACGTGCTAAAATACACTACTATGACATTCTATTCTCACTTACCCCTACTCCCTTAATTTATTTATTACTCCAAGAATATCTCTAATCTTAACAAATTAAATAACATTAAAAAATTTTGTGAAGAAAAAATAAAAACCATATTTGATTATTTAAAATTATTTTATCCCAGTAAGTAAGCTCAATTGATTTCGTGTGATCTTGGGTTTCCTCTGTTTTCCTCTCTTTTTTCTCTTTCTTTTCATTGTTTAAGGCTGCAACCAAACCAAAATTCACCATTCCCACCAAAACCTTTCTTTCCTTCCCGAAATCTCAAGTATTTCTTGGTGGGTTTATATTTAATTTTACACTATCTTCCTTTACTCAATACCCGGATAGCCGAGCTTGTATGTGGTCAGACTCTTTTAGACCTTGAGAAATTTACGAGCTTATATGTGATCATACTCTTTTACAACCCGGCCGATTGTTCAAAAGGAATAAGGAGGAAATCAGAATGATTTTTGTTTGATCATTGAAAGGTCGATTTCTTTTGGGGTACTTAAAAAAGTAGCAACTTTAAACTTATATTAACACCCAAAAATAAAATCAAAAAAACTGTGCTTGTTCACGCTTTGATAGGCGTGCTTAAATCGATGAAAATTGGCAGGCCCCTCAAAACAATTCTCCCTTTCTTTAATTTTTAATATTTTTTTTTCCACTATTTTTTCAACCAAATGGATTACTTTCATAAACATGGCCCACTAAGATTACAGTAGTATAGTAGTCCCTTTTTGCAGGTTTTGTTCCTTAGAATTTTTTCTTTGTTCTTCCTCTTTTTTCTTGTATTTTTCCTTCATCCTTTTGTTTTTCTCTCAGATAATTTTACTAGTAGATTCTCTAAGGAATTTTTTCTCTGAACTCTTGGAATATTATTTAACCAACTTTAATTATAATTATTTCTGATAAAAAATTGAAAGATGAGGTTTTTTGGGGAAATGGGTACTTCATATTTTTGCTGGGTTCTTTTGGGTGCTCATTTTATTTTTCTGGGGTTGTAAAATGGTGCTGTTTTGAGGTTGAAGAGAGAGAAAGTAGAGAGAAAAAAAACACAGAAGTTTAGATTTTAATGGCTTCTACTACTGTTGACGACAAAGTTAAAACAGTAGGAAGAGGAAGTTGTGGGCCACCATTTCCATCAAATTTACTTGAAGAAATGAAGTTACTCAAAGAAATGCAGGACAATTCTGGTAATTCATTATTATTAAAGTTTAAGTTTTTCAAATTTTTTACTTAAATTTTGCTTGCATTTTAATTATTATGTAATTTAAATCACTCTTTATTTTCATTTTTTTTTACTGTTCTTGTATGTAAATTATGAGAGATAAAGGTTTGATGTTTGTTACAATGGTGTAGTTAAGAATTTTTGTGTTTTTTTAGAAAGGTCATGTAAATGAAGGTTTTGTATTGGTCCTTGTCATTTGCAACATCTAGATTTGACACGTAAATGTTGTACTCCTTGTGTCCGAAATTAGTTTTCAAGTAACATGACAACTTAATCCAGACCTGAGCGTGTAGTTATAAATTTTACTATTAAATTCTATAATCATTCAGAAATATTAGAAGTATAAAAAGTTGTTTAAATATCAAATTATGGGTTTATAAAGTTTTATGAAAAAAGGCATTTTTTTTTTTTTTTTTTTTTTTTTTGGGAATGGTCATACAAATGAAAGTGTTGTATACGTATATTAGTCCTTGTCATTAAGCCTATTTACATGTTGACCTCCCCAGAATTTGCAAGTATTGCAACATCCAGGTTTGACACGTAAATGTCGTATTCTTTCATTTCGAAATTAGTTTTATTATCATGTAATTTTATCTAGTAATGTGACAACTTAATCTGAACGGGTAATTTTTGTTACATGTTACTCCGTGCTAATAAAAAGTTTTATAGAATTGTTTTTATATCATACAGTAATACGGAGTATAATTTTTTTTACAAAAATTTTAGTTTTTTTTTTTTTTTTTTTTTAAAAGAATTGTAGTAAGTGTAACAAGAATGTGTTTGGGTTTTTGGTTACAGGGGCCCGGAAGCCTTTACACTCAGAGCTTTGGCATGCTTGTGCTGGTCCTCTTGTATCCTTGCCTCAAGTAGGAAGTCTTGTCTATTACTTCCCACAAGGCCATATTGAGCAGGTTTCAGTCAGAAAATTCTTATAAAAAATTTTGTTTTATTTTCTTTAGTATAATTTGTTTTATTGTTATTATTATTTTTATTTTATGTTTAAATCTTAGGTATTGGCCAATTTGCTTTCTTTTGTGTGATAACTCATAATTTCCTTATGAAGTAGATTCAAGAGTTATGGTTTAAATTGTACTAGTTTTATGTAGATAGGATATCTTTGTACTATTTTTATGTAGATAGGATATCATCATCATAAGATGGTCTATACCAATCTCTTTGTCAGTTTGTACAAGGATTTATGTATCATAATTTTCTAAAAGATTTTTTGTTTTATCTGTCTCGAAATATTATGCTATATTCTTTGATATTTTTTGCATCAAAGAATGACCTCCATGGACGGGGTTTAAAGGACATTATGGTCATATTACATTGGACATTTGATAGGTGTGGTAGGAGGAGAAGGATTCACGTGAGCAACTCATGGGAAGTTGGGGATTGTAACTTGGTCCGTGTAATTGACCCCATCCTTTTGCCAGATCAAAGCTATATAGATCTTAATTAGAAAATCTTACCTATTAGCATTACCAACTCACCCCATTTATGTTAACATTTGATTTAATACTCCAGTGTGTACCCGAAATGAGGAATATTTTGTGGGAATTTGGAAAATACGATACATTTGTTACAACTTAAAAGCATTTAGAAAAGACGATGATTACTAACTTTATGTAGCTTTGATCTAGATGATTGCTAATTATAGGTAGCATTTATGAAGGGATGGTAACTTACAAATTATCATATTACCTAGGAGGGTCATGCGTAAACAAGTTTCTATCATCCGTTCCTTTACCTTTTTCTTATATGGGTATTGCTGTTCTTTGTCTTTGTACCTTTTAAGATCAGCTGAACGTGATCGTAAGTTAATTTGCTTTTTATATATTCACCATATGCTTGTGCCACATTGAGGTTTTATGGATAAATTATCATGATTCAATATTGACCGGCTACTTTGCTGACATCAATTTTTTTGGAACCGTACTTAAACTCTTTCTTGTTGAATTGGTCATTCATTTTAAGTAATATTCATGTCTTGAACTCCTACACTATATTGGATAGGATTTCAGTATCAGTTCCATTTTAGTCTGGGAATATCGACAATATGGTTGTATACATGTATGCATTCCCAAATTATGCCAAAGGTGGCAGTTGCACTTTTGATCAAGATGTAAACTCCATTTAATTAAGTTGCAAAATGCTATCAAATTACGGTCACTAGGAAGTTGCATGAAAGCTTCTATTTTCTACTAAAATCACATTTCTCATCATCTTGAGTGAAAGCCCATAGCTGTGATCCAAGTGCTTATTTTTTGTTTGAGGCGCGTAATTCTTTACTTTTAAATTTTTTGCAAAGATGCATGCTGAGTTGTGGAATCTAATGGACTGTCCGACTCATAAAGGCATGCTATGGGCTTGTATTATTTTACACTAAAGCCATGGCTGTTATCATGCAGGTGCTGTGCCTCCTTTGAAATTTCCACTGACTTATTATCACACGTGGTTTGTAAATTATGCATCACAATCTTAAATTCTTAACTACACAAAGATGTGATTTAGCACATATGTTTGAGGAAAACCCCTATTTTTCCCTAAAGGGTGACTTGATATCTGTGCTGTGTTTTGTTTAGTACTTCAATTTATATTTACTCAAAGAGCTTCAATGTTTTTCTTTGTTGCTGAAGGTGGCGATATCTACAAAACGTCCAGCAACTTCTCAGATCCCCAACTATCCAAATCTTCCGTCTCAATTGATGTGTCAAGTTCACAATGTTACACTTCATGTATGTGTTTTTTCTCATTCTTGAATCTTTTTGTTCCATGAACAATTTTTATATCATTCTATTTAGATTGTAGCCATTGTTTACTCAGTGTTAATCTCTTATTTTTGTTAGTCGGACAAGGATACAGATGAGATATTTGCCCAAATGAGTCTTCAACCTATTAAAACTGTAAGAGTTCATAATCCTGAATATTTCCCTTTACATTTTCATACATCTCACCTAAGAATCCTATAGTGATCTCATACTTTATTCTTGACTTGATAATGCTTACGAAACATATCTCTACCATATGTTCAGGAAAAGGATGTTTTCCCTATACCTGATTTTGGGCTGAAGGCCAGCAAGCATCCTACTGAATTCTTTTGCAAAACTTTGACTGCAAGTGATACGAGTACTCATGGAGGTTTCTCCGTGCCTCGCCGAGCAGCAGAAAAGTTGTTTCCTCCTCTGGTAAGACATGTCCTTTTCATCTAGGACTTTTTCTTTGTTCTGAAACAATTCCGTTGCATAATTATAGATGTTATTTTTGGAATACTAATTTTTAGGATTATACAATGCAACCTCCATTTCAAGAGCTTGTTGTGAAAGACTTGCATGATAATACATGGACATTCCGCCATATCTACCGTGGTTAGTGTTCATCCCCTTATCTTTTTTTGATCTCTAGCTGGTGAAAATTTCATGTTAGATTTGTAAGTGCCACTTATTTCGTGATACAATCTATTCTTTTTCTTTTCTTCTCCTGCAGGGCAGCCGAAAAGACATCTTCTGACAACTGGATGGAGTGTTTTTGTTGGCTCTAAGAGACTTCGTGCAGGGGATGCAGTTCTGTTTATCCGGTAAGGACCTCATATATATATAGGTTTGCTTTCTATGCACTCGTTGGTTGAAACACTTCAACTTCTCAAGAGAGGAGTAATAATCCCTACAGTCTATGGTTTAATTGCCAATTTTTGCTGCTATAGAGCTATATAATTTTGTGTCAATTCATATCTTTGAGCTACATGTGTCACTGGCAGTGGAAAACAAATGTTCCTTTTTATTTAGAAAAAAGTTGTTATCCTCTCTATCTATCTTTTTAGACTATGGAACTTCTGTTTCATTATGAAGTGTCCCCTAGTGTGAAAAGGGTAGTGTATTTTCTTGATTTTAATCACATGCATATATCTTTTTCCTAGCCTACTTCCTGATTTTTTTTTGTCAATACTAGAGATGAGAAGGGTCAATTGATGATTGGTGTGAGGCGTGCAAACCGTCAGACAACAACTCTTCCGTCATCTGTTCTATCTGCTGACAGCATGCATATCGGAGTTCTTGCTGCAGCTGCACATGCTGCTGCTAACAGAACCCCATTCACAGTTTTCTACAATCCTAGGTATCTGTGATGTTTTACATCTCTTGAGCTTGTCCAGTTTTTCTTCATGACGGAAATAATAATTAAGACCACCTTTTCCTGCATCTCTTGTTGTATGTAGGGCATGTCCTACTGAATTTGTAATTCCTGTGGGCAAATATCGGAAGGCAATATATGGAACACAAGTATCTGCTGGGATGAGGTTCGGTATGATGTTTGAGACAGAGGAATCGGGTAAAAGAAGGTAGTTGATGCTACTTGCTAATCATGCAACAATGTCAATTGGGGAGAGCAAATTGAAGGAAAAAACTTGAATTTGTCTACTCCATGAAGTAAGCATATTGATGATTGTCGTATGAAGCCTAACAATGTTGTCATTTATGTTTAATAATTTTCCAGATATATGGGAACAATAGTTGGTGTAAGCGACTTGGATCCGCTGAGATGGCCTGGTTCAAAATGGCGCAATCTGCAGGTACATTGAACTTCTTTATCTGTACAACTTTGTTTTATCTTTAATGGAAGTGACTACTAGTTGATTGAGCTGCTGCAATTTATCTCATGCCTGATGCTTTATTCATTATTTCCTGCAAATGACAGGTTGAATGGGATGAACCAGGATGTGGTGATAAGCAGAGTAGAGTGAGTTCATGGGAAATTGAGACTCCTGAAAGTCTTTTCCTATTTCCTTCTCTGACTTCAGGCTTTAAGCGGCCCTTCCATCCTGGATTTTTTGGTGAGTTGGTTACATATTTGCTCAATCCTCATTGCCACAAAACCCTATAACCTATGGCTAACATAGTAGCTTTTTGACACTGTCTTAGGAGGAGAACTTGAGTGGGGAAATTCGATAAAGAGGCCTTTCATTCATCTCCCCGACATGGGTGCTGCAAATCTTTCATATGCATCACTTCCAAATGTTTGGTCAGAGCAATTGGTCAAGGCACTAATGCGGCCAGAGAACATGGGCTATCCTTCCATGCTAGCCTCATGTCCACCGCCACCTATACTACAAGAAACAAAGGCAAACATTGAGGCAGCAACGCTGCATAAACCACAGATAGTTTCTTCACAGAACGTTTCTGTTCAAAATTATCCTTCGCAGCAGCTCAACCAACGTGAAGTGGGAAATGTTTCAGGGGTGGAACAGGCTAGCAAGACAAACCAGCCTTTGATGGATGGTGAAAAAACTAAGCCAGAACCTTTGTGTGAACCTAGTCAGCTAAGCCAACTTGCTTCTGCTGGGCACTGCAATGAGGAGAGAGAGAGAAGCAATCTTTCTAACCCTCCATCCCAACAAAGCATAGATGCAAAAGATAACAATCAGAAACTAATGCAACCACCAGCTATGTCATCTGTATTTCAGTCCCCATTGACTGATGTCCCTCCGTCTGATCTTTCTAGTCTAAACGGTTTATTTCCTTACATGGATGCTTCTGATTGGTTACCTTATTCTTCATCAACAATATCAGAAGTAATTGATCCTTCATTGCCTTCAATTGGTCAAGATATATGGGAGCAAAGTCAGAACCTGAGGTATCCAGCTCAGTCAGATCAATTTGGTTCATACTCGCAGTTGTCAGATGAAACAAATAATCAGAGTGGGATATATAGCTGCATTGATTTAGACATGGGTAATGGTGGAAATGCAATTGTTGATGCATCGATCCCAAATGCTGTTTTGAATAAAATGTGTCCTAAGGAGGCAAGTTTACAGTATTCTTCAGACTGTTTAGTGGGCAACTTCAGTTCGAGCCAGGATCTTCAGTCTCAGATTACATCAGCAAGCCTAGCTGATTCTCAGGCATTCTTACAAGACTTTCCTGATAATAATTCAGGTGGTACGTCTTCAAGCAATGTGGATTTTGACGAGAGCAGTCTTTTGCAAAACAATTCATGGCAGCAAGTGGTGCCTCCCATGCGTACATATACAAAGGTTTGTACTATATTGGATTTTGATCCTGAAAAATACTTCCTCTTTAATGCCTACTCGTATTTGTTTAGTGTTAAGAGATGGGGTTAGAAATAGACCTACAGCAAAATGGGAAAAGGCCCCCAAATATTTTTAGCAGCTTTCTTTGTTTAAAGAACGTGTTTCTTTATTCTCTTGCTTTAGTATTTAGTATTTGACATTGATTTTTCTTCATAGGTTCAAAAGGCAGGATCGGTTGGGCGGTCGATTGATGTGACAAGCTATAAGGATTATGAAGAACTGCGGTTTGCTATTGAACGCATGTTTGGACTAGAGTGTCTGCTCAATGATCCAAGAGGATCCGGATGGAAATTAGTTTATGTTGACTTTGAGAGTGACGTTCTGCTGGTTGGAGATGATCCGTGGGAGTAAGTCTTTATCTTCCCGTAACTCTCTTTATAATACATGTGGTTCCTATTCCCTATAATCATGTAACTATACTTTATGAAATTTCTTTAAAAGTCTCGGCAATCTCTAGCTAAAAATAAGGAAAATCATCAATCTTAACTTTCCATTACTCTTCTTTTTTCCCTTTTGAGATCAATCTAACACAGTAATCCTCCATTAATATTATCTTTAATAAAGTGTTGCTGGTATGTCTTCTAAAAAAAATGATAGTGAGTGCATGCTTAAAGAAGATAACATACTACTTCCGTTTTGCTTTTCACTTGTTGCGTTAACTAAATTTGTTTTATGTTACTTGGAACTTTCAAAATTACAATTTATATTGGTTGTTACCTGTAGGATATCGGTATCATGTTTTTGGAGATTTGGAGTCACTCCAGAATACCAGTGCAATATCTATATGCGCTTCTTTACGTTTGTGCATGGTTGCTAGAGGAGCGCTTTTAGGAATTTTTTTAGAGTTTCAGTGCATAACACTGATATTTGAATATTTGACATTGGTGTTAATGTTCTTACTATCCATGCAGGGAGTTTGTCAGTTGTGTTCGATGCATCCGTATATTATCGCCTGCAGAAGTTCAGCAGATGAGCGAAGAAGGAATGCAGCTTCTCAACAACAATGCAATTCCAGGAATTAGCAGTGCTCCTTAGACATGTTAGTTTCTTCAGATGGCCAATGCTACACCCACGGGGCTGCTAACACGAAGGACCTAAAGCTTGTCATCTACAGAAGGGAGAGCTGTGTTGATTCCGCCCTTACTAAAGGATTGTTGCTGACTAGCATGTTGGCTATGACAGTGTACATTGTGGGAATGTGTTAAGAGTTTAGGTAGATCAATGCTAGACTTTAGAGCTTGTTTTGTTAACCCCTGTCGTGACATTTAGGTTTCGGAGAGTTGGGACATAATGTTATAATGTAATGTATTGTACCTTGAAATTTTAATGTATGGATCATGAAACATTTGAATGTCTAAAACAAAGGGCAATTAGAGAGTTGTTCCGATCCAACGTCAAGTAGCTTAAGTCTATTAGGTCACAAGGCTTGATACAATTGTTTGTACCATATGCTTGTAATTTTGCATTCTTTTACGAGTCTGCACCCACTATGTTTCTCCAGAAGTGTATTACTACATTTTGGAAAATCAATTTATCCTTTGATATCTATAAAATTAAATTATAATAACATACAAAGTATATGATATATCTATCTTGTAGGAATCCCCTTTCTACTCAAGTACAAATGATGATTTGACATAGCTACTCCCTCTGCGTATTTGTTGGCCTATGTATTGATATTTATAAAATATACAATACGACTAATCAAACAAGATCTCACCTCTTACAGAATAACAATAATTTATGATCAAAATTTTAAAGTTTGACCTTACTTTTGACAATAAGACAAAAAAATAGGGACAAAGGGAGTATTTGGTTGTTTCTAGTTTCCTACTAGGGATGAGCATAACAGGATACCCTGTAAAAATTCTAGGAAACGGAACCGGAACCTGTTGCAACAGGTTCCTCAAAATGGAAACCGGAATTGGAACCGGAACCTGTTGAACAAGTTTCTGAAATTGGGAACCGGAACCTGTAGGTTCCGGTTCTGATTCGGGGTACCCTGTCTTGTAATATACTTACTGACTTATTGCACATTTTTTTAATTAAAAAAACTGGTTGGTCACTGTAGGCGTCGTTCAAAGCGTGCCTACCTAGGCATGTGGTGAATATGCTTGGCACTCATAGGAAGTGGGAATTGACATACGATTAGGGACACGGAAATTAAAGTAGGGATCCGCCAACAAGTTTTTAAGGAACTTGTCAACCGTTCACGGATCATTTAAGGTAACCACGATTAAGGGACAACGATAGAAAACAACGATTGACCCATGAAGGTTACACCCCATTCATAATCCATGAGGTTACTAACTCCATATGGTTTGGAACCACAAAAGGAGGATCGGGAATGATGGTGCGAAGTGAGTCATGGAGTCACATTCGCCCGTATTGACCTCTACTCAATTCTTATTGCGAGAAGTAATTCCTGCGATTTCAAAGGCATGCAAACAAAGATTCAATTTGCTCCAAACTAATATTAGGCTAAATTGGTTGAATATTAATCCAATACATAATTCTAAAATATTGTGATCACTTGATTAAATAACAAGATTAAAAAGGAACCTAAACGGTCGTCCAAATTATCTTATTAGGCGTTATATTAAATTACATATTCCCTTTAAACATGCAATATAGTGATCAAAACAGTAATAAAATCATTATTAACATTGGAAGCAATTTAACCATAATAACATTAGTCAAATCAAATCATAATAATAAACCTAATCATAATACTAGCAATAAGAATAAGAATAAAAATAAGAGTAATTAAGTGAATTAATTACTCACGTTCCGCGCTTCTTTAAATTGCTACATTATGAATAAATTGTTAGTAACTTCAATAAAAATATAAATAATAATGGAAATTAAATTAAATAAAAGTAGAATTGATTTGGGGCCAAACCCTCAAACAGTTCTACCTTTCACACCTTGGTTTAAGTTTAGAACCTCGGGTAAAGTACGGACTTTAGGAAGTGCTTAGGGGATGTATTGTTGAAGAATAAGGAAGGCTAGTGATTAGGCTAGAGTATAAGTGAGAAATAAAGAATGATTTGGTGTATAAGAGGGAAAGAGAGAATTGTTTGGTGCCTTAGAGAGGAAGAGAGAATTATTTGGTGCTCCGAAACTGAGAAATCAGCTTCATATTTATAGAGAAAATATGAGGGGTGAGGTATGGAACCCTAAAATTGAAGCGCCGCGGAGAAATAAACCCTAAAAATTGTCGTGTCACGGTGCAAATTGCCGTGATACGTTAATATCTGTCGTGTCACTGTATTTTTACCATGGCGCGGTAATTTCCAGTTTTACGCGTTTTTAAAACTATGATAACTTTTGATCTGTAATTTGGATTAAGGAATATAATATATAATTGGAAAGCTTATCAAGTCTACATTCCAACCCAATTAAAATCAGGTCAAAATATTTTGTAAATTTTAAGATATGGCCACTTTAGTGCAAGGGTGTCGATTTTTGGCTGAGTTTTAGTGTTTTGCTCATATCTTCTTCATTTTAAATCGGAATTGGGCTTATGATATACCGTTGGAAAGCTTATTTCAAGGCCTATCCAATTAAATAATATTTGGATCAAAATTATTGTTCCAAGAAATCAATTTATCTCGGTTTTGTGATGTGGACACCAAAAGTGGAAAATAAGTTATGGTTTGGGGAAATGGGCTAAGAGTTAGGTTGATTTGTGAAATGTATTGGATTGAATATGGATTTAAGCACTCCAAAGATTAAATACTTGACCCAACCAACAATGACGGTGAAAGGTTGTTCATCATCGGGTTTGGTTTTGGGAGACATTTTTAGGTGTCTACAGAAGCCCCCGCTTTGACTAAGTTTGTAGAAACGTAAGTTTCGAAAATGATAGTCAAAGTAGTCGATAGGGACAGAGAATGATTTAAGACATTCTGCGATCCTAAATCACTCTGCATACGCCAATACCTACAGAAAAATGTTAGTTCCACAGATAAAAGAGTAAAGGGATAAAATGCGTATCTGACACCAATACATGGCAACAAACACGTTTGGTAGTTTTCTACGCCTCGAGAAATCCACCATATGAAGACTGTTATGATATCTTTCCACGCCTCGGGAATGCTGCTAGATGATATTTTTCCACGCCTCGAGAATCCTGTTAGATAATATTTTTCCACGCCTCGGGAATTCTATTAGATCATATTTTTCCACGCCTCGGGAATGCTGTTAGATGAAATTGTTTTTCGCAAAATCGCCAACTTATACGCCTCGAGAAGTGTACAACGACCGACAATTTTCCACACCTCGGGAAAAGCTTGTCTGATAATGAGATAGTTTCCTCGCCTCGGGAACTCTATCGTGAGTTCCTACGCCTTTAATAACTCACAAGTGAAATTCCATACTCTGGGAATAACACTAAGTGTCCACGCCTTGGGACGAAATAACCGACTTCTACGCCTCGAGAAGTGTGCAACGACCGACAATTCTCCACGCCTCGAGAAAAGCTTGTCTGATGATGAGAAATTACAAGTCTCTGTGTCTCGAGAATCTTGCAACGTGAATCGTCCTCGCCTTGGGAGATGATCACCGGTGTTTGATAAATGTCTGATTGTGGTTCGATTATCCCCGAACTTGGGTTGTAAATGATAATGGTTCGATTGTCCCCGAACGTGGGTTGTTGATGGTTCGATAATCCCCGAACGTGGGCTGTAGATGATAATGGTTCGATTGTCCCCGAACGTCGGCTGAAGATGATAATGGTTCGATTGTCCCCGAACGTGGGCTGTAGATAATAAGGGTTCGATTGTCCCCGAACATGGGCTGTACCTGAGACCTGCAAAATGGAATTTGCCAAAGGACTCGTATAGGCTGTGATTGACTTGACCAACTAACTTGACCAAACTTGACTTGACACGACATAACATGTGTATGACTTGTGACTGTGTGTGTATATGTATAGTTTGAGTGTGCATAGACACAAACAACTGAAAATGCAAAAATTTCCATCATTTTTTGTCATGAGTGGAGGGTACCGACTTTCTCCCAAAAAAGAAAGACGTGAAAATGAAGTAAGAGTTTTCGAACTTCCCTCGATATAAATTTTGAAAAAGTTTTTGAACTTCCCCAGAAGAAAAAAGATGAAAAATAGAACAAGTTTTGTACTTTCATGCTGAGAAAAATTTGAAAAAGTTTTTTGAACTTCCCCAAAAGAAAAGACATGAAAAAGGGAAGAAATTTTGAGCTTCCTCGTTGAGCAAAGTGAGACGAATCACATGGATTTTCTTCTTGTCGAATTGAATTATTGCTCGTCTTGAAAATATTATATGCATGATGAATGTTCGTAGGATAGGAGGCTAAGGACAATTACATCATGTGACATAATCAATGAATGCACTAGCGCGGTAGTTTGTTGACAATGTATGTTGCTTAGGTTAAGAAGCTAAGCATCATATATATTGTGTGAAAAAAATAACATCTTGAAAGTTGCTTAGGTTTGGAAGCTAAGCACGTATACAATGGTGATTGCTAAGTATTGCTTAGGTCAAGGAGATAAGCAAGTGTAACAACGAATCTTGATGAATGTACCTAGGTTAGGAAGCTAAGTACACTTGTGATAATGCTATCGAATGATGATGATGATTTTGCTGGATGCTGTTGTGAAGCATGCATGGTGTGGGAACAAGATTTCCTGATAAGGGGTTCCTAAGGGAAGGTGGATATGGCCATGAATATGTGAATGAAGTGTGTGAAAGTGATATTAAGGTAAGGTTGCAAAGGTTATGTTAATGGAAATAGATGTGAAAAGAGTCGAGAAGGTGACTCTTTAGGCTGGTAGGCTAAGTGATGTGGGTTCAAGCCCCCAAGTCTAGCTCTAGATGGATAAGAATGAGCACTGGATATTCTTTAACTCGATCATACATGAATATGAATATGAATGTGGCCGCACCTCGATGTGAGGTTGCCTATGTATCCGTTAGGAATCAGGCCGAACGTAGCTCTAGTTGAACTTCGCACAAGTTATGTACACCTCAAAGAGGTCTTTTGAGGGTTGTAACGTGGTTAAGCTAATGGTTTGAAGAAGAAAAGGGTAAAAGGCTCAAGACCCGAGAGAAGCCCCCCAAGATGTGTAATTGTGTATTTGAAAAAAATTGAATTTTGTAAGTTTATTTTTCACATTTTGTTTTATACTTTGAATATTTTGTACAACTCTTATTAATCAATGTGGGCAATCCCGGATCATGCGGTCCATCACTCACTTAACATTCATGTTTCTCAGGCATGATACCAAGCACTCGACGAGGGACGCAATTCGAGACGTGTTCATATCAAAGGCATCGTAACACTTACCCTTAGACATTGTTTTATTTTAATCATTTTTTTTTCTTTGAACTTGCTTTTGAATGTTGCACAAATTACACACCTTCCTACCCCAAGGTTAGGTAAATTTGGGTTGAAAAAAATGAAGGTTAAACGTTAGACGAGGCTCAAGGTGTTTAATGAAGAAGTGGAATATGTGTTTCAATGGTTAATGGGAATAATGGGTTGCAAATGTGCCTCAAATCATTGGTGTACCTTGTGTTCGGTTTGGC